GATAAGGAGGAGCTAAAACAGCCTGCTTGAAGGGAGAATAACCCAGGGCAGGCTGACCAGTTACAAACCAACATCAGAAGCCAGTGGTGAGGCCATGAGCAGCCACAAGAGGAGTGAGCATTTCCCCTCTTCAAAAAAGGGTTATAATAAAAGAGAAGAATTCAAACTTGATCTTGGTTCTCAATCTTGTAATGGTGTGAGTAGGTCCGAGTTTGAGGTCAAAGTTGGGCACCAAGTAAAATCATCTTGTTAACAGTTGGGGGGATACTCTCAAGCCAAATTTGGATGTAATGCAATTGGAAGTGAACTTCTGGTTCTGCAGAATTACTGCCAGCTGACTGCACAATATTTTGCTATTATTTCTGTAGTCTCTCAGTCAAGTGATTGAATTTTGTAGATGCTACTTACAGAATCACTCTCATTCCAGAAACTTCTTTGCCATTTCCAACCAGAACATGTAAGTAAAATAGTGCTAACTATGGCCCTAGTGACCTAAAGGAAATATTGCAATTTTCAAAAGAAACGAATATCCATTACAGAAAAACATGGCTCACTGGTGTATTTATTACTGTTTATAGGTAGTATGGCCTGTTGCTTATTTAATATTGGGAAAAAAAACCCATGCCAGCACACCTCTGCCTAAATAGATCCCCAAATTCTAAATCTATATGTCTCAGATTTCATTACCTGTTAATCTAGGGTTTGTATTTAAAATGAAGATTCACTGGTTCTTTTAGAGCCCTAAAATCTGCATTATTAACAAGCCCTCCAGGTAATTCTGCTGCAGAAAAATATTCATTGGAAAAATACTATTTTAACTCCCAAGTGTTAATTAACTTCTCTCAACCAGCATTCCTCACCCATTTTAGGTGTCCAGTAAATTGTGTCGTGTTGATCAATGTATTGCCAGCCCTTACAGCCCTAAGGTACATATTGTAACCTCTTGGATAACTAATCTATCAAACCTTCCAAGGAAAAACCATCATTTTAGTTATCCCAGATAAAAGGTCAGTTGCTGCAGACATGAACTTGACTTGACGTCAGCCAAGCCTGGGACTTATCTCTGCTTTCTGGACAAGTCATTAGCCCCAACCAAAAAAAACTATCTTTCTTCATTTTTTCCATTTAGCCACACTAGCACACTACATGCGGAAATGGGCAAAAGTAGGTTTACAGCTGTGAGTATACACAATTTATTTTATATTATTACTTAATAATTATTGTATTATTTTCCATACAAACAACTGTAAACCTACTTTTGCTCCATACTGTATGTATTCTTGGGAGGGGGAATTAAAGATGAACAAAAACTCCTTATCTCATAAAAAAACAATATAAACATGAATTGTAATGTATCCATTTCTTTTAATTTTCTACAAATGGAATCTCTAGATCAGAAGCTCCTCCCCATACGATTCTGGGCCTTAAATACTGAGCTAAGTTCTGAAGATAGTTTTTAAATCCTGCTGATCTTTTGATCTTTGCTGGTCCTTTAATACTACTGTAACATATTTATTGAATTATTAATTGATTGCATTAATTTTAAGATGAAAATCTGGCCATTTAAATTAAATGATATATGACTTATTATAAGTGACTTTCAATACAAAAAATTTAATACAGAAATCATTAAAGACTTCAAAAATAAATACTGAGAAAATTATAAAAATTTCATATGAAGGCTTTGCTTTAAAGTTTGTTAATATAAATAAAACAATTTTTCCTGGAGTGGAGTCATGTGAATTCTTTATATATTTTGGAGATCAAACCCTATGACCTCACCTGTAAGTGGAACCTAATCAACAAAACAAATAATCAAGCAAAATAGAACTAGAGACATCGAAATTAAGAACAAACTGACAGTAACCAGAGGGGTAGTGGAAGGGCATAATGAGGGTAAAGGGGGGTTTTCAGGAACATCTGTAAAAGACACATGGACAAAACCAAAGCTGGGTAGGATCAAGGGTGGGAAGTGGGGATGGCTGAGGTGGAGGGGAGTCGTGAGGGGGGAAATGGAGACAACTGTACTTGAACAACAATTTTTAAATGTGGAAAAATAATAAACAAATAAATAAATAAATCACAAATGACTTTTTACATTTTGTCCCAGGCTTCAAAGTATATTTTCATTTAAATGTATTTAATTAACTCTTTGCTTACTCATGTCCTTTTTCCTTTTTCCCTACCCAAAGCATTTTAAATAGAAACAGTTATCTGTAGGTCTCTAAACATATTCTAAACCTCCAAAACTAATTATTTAAATTATTTTATATGGGATTTTATTGAGTCCAATTTAGTTTGAAGAGTAACTAACAAAACAACAATGTTAGACTGGTCTTTTAGAAATGTAACTAATACCCAGGTACTCTCTTACACCACTGGATAGCAACTTTTTAAAGTACTGCACATGTATATAAACACTAGGGGACAAAAATTCATCTAAATTGTGCATCCTATAAATGTCCCAACATTCATGCCCATTCATAAGCTTAGTATCTTCTCAGGCATCTTCTCTGAGTAGCTGCTTTATCTTTTTAGTTGAATCCAATAACCCATCAAGCAGATATTAAAGTACATTTATGGAAATACATGGAAGCTTAAATAGATATATATTCCAGACATGAAAATCCTTATGGTTGGTAAAGAAAATATAATACTTTAAGAGGTTTAAAGTACTTATTTCCTGATCTCTTTTTTTTCTCCAAACATTAGACGAAGTTGCATTGTTTACAAAAATTTATTCATACAAATTTTACACACTTTATATAACAGTTATCAAAGTCCTAGTTATAGATATCATGTGTGTAATAATACTTGGTTAAGATGTTGTTTATAATCATTTGCACACAAAATAAGAGCTTCGAGACTAACATCTACCTAAATTATCACTATATATCATAAATCTGCTCCAGGTTAGTAAGGCTCTTGGCATTTCTAAAAAGTATACAAAAGATTAAACTGGATGATCACCGTGAATGCTTGCAACTAGCCACGAAAACACTAAATTAGACTTCATAAACAAAAGGTTAACTAGAGCCCTATTTCACCACTAACAGCTGACACAAATACAGAAAACTCTGCCCAATATCCAAGAAACAAATAATTAAGACTAAAATGCAAGCCGATGTGTTGCAGCATTGTAGGGCCACTAAATAGCCATCTGTGATTCGTGGCGATTTAAAAGGCGAAGAAAGGCACTACAGCTGCAAACTGTGTCCCCATGTCACATTGCCTGAGGAGACTGCAGAATTTAAAAAGACTGATCCCGTACACAGGACTCAGGCATAGATCGAATGCCTCTGTGCTTTCACTGTTTGCAATGTGATCTCCTGGCAGCATCCATCCCGCCTGGGAATGCAAATCCAATTCCGTTTTCTTTGATTTATGACTTCATACTGATAAAATCCGTAAAGAAAAAGGAAAGGTCCTTTAAACTTTACAAGCTAATGTTTAATCTTTTCTCGTTCTTCTTTTTTTGTTCCCAAAAGAATTTGTGTCTGAAATTTGGGAGTTTGGCTGGTTTGCGTGTTGTTGCTTGATCTTGTTGTTGGGTGCCGGTTCTTTTATTTGTAGAGATTACTCAATATGTTCAAGAAATTGATAGGAAACAGACAAACATGCTTTCTGTAGCCAAGAAGGGATACAAAGGGAAGTTCCCAGAGTCTGTTGGAGCTTGCTTACCTTACACTTGACCACAAATATAAGATAGTACTCATATATAAGATGAGGTTTAAATGATTTATCAGTCAGTAAAACTGAGCAACATGTGAACACTACACATTCTGATATGACAAAGGTTGGTTTTATGAAATAAATTTTACTAAGCAATAAGCCATAATGTAGAAAAATACATTTTACCTACAAACTCAATAAACAAGAAACAAGATTCATATTTAGTGCATAATTACTTAATGATAACTACATAGGGTTTCCTAAACTTTACAATAAGTGCTTGCATCAAACAACAAAAAGTAAGACACATTCACAAGTTTAAGAGAAGTGAATGGAAAATGGTAAACAAATTTAAACAGGGCAAGAGGGTAGGAAGGAGGAGTCTTCAGAAAAACCACAAAAGAAAAGGGTGGCTCCTACAGAGCAGGGTTCAAAGGGGAGGGTCCTGGCCATTTCACAAGATGAGAAGCATGGACAGCACTGGAGAAAAACACATTGTACTTTGCATCCATTTCCAACACCCAGCACCCAGTCCGTCAGGCTGGAGACCTACGGTGGGGACTCAGCTCAACCCCAGCCTCCCAGAGCTGGGGCAGCCCCACAACAGTCCCTCTCCAGGGTCCTCCTCCTGCTGCACTATGCTCTGCCTCTTCCAGTACACCTGCATTTCTTTCACTTTGTTCCACTTGTCCTAACCTCGGGATATTGGGTTTCCTGGAAGTACAGAAAAGGGAGCTTCGTACCCAAGGCTCCCTTCTCTATACAATCTCCCAACTCTTGCCCCAGGGAATGGTATGAACTCTGGGGAGAAGCGTAATTTAGATAGAGCTGTTGTTTTATCGGGAGAATTTCCTTCTGGGCTGAGAGTCTGAAAAGAGACAAATACATATAAAAGTAGGATCAAAGAAAGCAGAAGTATTGGAATTGTCACCCAGCGAGGGGGACAGTGCCTAGTTGAGTGGGGGTGGGATTGAAGCAGCCTGCCCCAGAGACTCACTGTGAAAAGAATGTCCTATAGCAATTCTTCCAAATCATTACCTCAAAATCTCCCTGGAGCAGGGCATCATTGTTTATGTACAGTAGCAAATGGTCAGTAGTAATATCTTTAGGCCTGTCGTGGATAAAAATACTATCCTTTTAATTCCAGTTTACAAAAATAGGAGTAATATTCAAAACAATGATTGTCTATTTTTCTATTTTATATAAATACATAAACAGCTCAGGTAAATTTTCAATCCTTGTGCACACTTTGTATGAACTGCTCTCTATTATACGTATATATATTCTTAAATATATATATTTATAATATATATCAATAATTGGTCCACAAAGTATATCTGTGCATTCTCTAGTGCTTTGTAAAAAGAAAAACAATATTATTATCAAAATATTCATTTAATGGCTTCACTTCATACATAAATACATGTTTGGATAGAACACATGAGCGGTGACTGTTCAGTTTGTTGGGAAGAATGACTTTTCATTGTGTCAGGGTTGTATACACCACAGGGTAGCTGGTAACTCATCGCTACAAATATGCTATCCGGCGTCCTTTGTTTTTAACCCTTTGTTTATACCTTTTCCCAAGGACGGCAGCCAAGTATTTCTTGACAGCCATTTGTTTCCGGTAGCGGCTGTAGCTGTCCGTGAAGATTCCGTCCGAGTGGCGCTTGGAGAGAGGATCTGAGTCGTCCTTGGTGTCTCCGCTTCGAATCCCACTGCAAGGACAGGGGTCGGGAAGAGGGTGGCAGGGCGGGAGACACAGGTTCAACAGCTGCGGGGAGCGGGCGGGCCCCCACCCGGCGCAGGAGCCTGCAGAAGGGAAGGGCTCTCACTGCCCTCCGCGTCTCCTTCCCCGCCAGCAAGAGCCGCAGGGAGAACTGCGATGGAAACCCTTCATTCCTCCCTGCCCACTGAGGATTTCCTGGCACCAGTCCTTCCAGGGGGGGCCCAGTATGAGGTCCTAGCAAAACGCCCACAATTGAAGCCTAACTTCTGTCCATGAGATACGATCATCCCGTCCGTCCGTTTGCGCTAAATTGTTCTAAGAGAAAATAACGAAAAACCCCTAAATGCCACGTCAGCTGGTGCCGTGGAGTTTACATGGATCCCGCAATTCCTACCTAGTCAGACACAAGCACTCTCCTTTCGCATGCTAAGTTGAAAAACGTGATAATAATACAAGTCGACAGACTGTAGGCAATATCTTTCAACACATGAATTATTCATTACAAAAAATGTAATCTGTTTTCCCGTGGGCTTTATTAAAATGCTGCCTTCTGCTGAGAGATGCTACACACCAGCCCTTTGCTCTGGGTATGTCTGCCACGAGCAAAAACTGTTTGTTTTCCTAAATGTCCAAACTTGAGGGTTTGTTGGTTTCAAGTTCAATTTACAATAAAAGAAAACAAATTTTAAGTCAAGCTTAGAGAAAATTACAACAACTCATCCCGCAAAGCTTGAAGGTTTTGAATGACTGAGGGGCTACCTGGTTTCTTTTTATTTTCTTATTTTCTTTTTTTATATTCAGAACCGATCAGACTACCCGGTTTTCCTTCCCTCTCCCAAATCTGAGCTCTCTCGCCAAATTTCAAGTGCCACCTCGCCATCTTCGCGTGTGGCCCGGGGACTCGCCTTGCACAAGAGGCAGACCCTGGGGTTCAGACTCACCCTTGGTTGGCCCCACGTGCACGCAGAACGTAGGACCGCACCGCCCACCCCGCGCGCTCGCAACAGTGGCCCACCCCGGCGCACGCGCGCCATCACGCGCCCGTTAACTCTTTCGCAAACTCTTACCCCATGCCCTTGGCCACGAGCTTCTGCAGTAATTTCTTGCGGGACAGCTGGTCCAGCACTTTGCGGTAGGCCTTGCTAAGGATCACGTGAGCGACATCTCTAACGGGGAGGCAAAGTGCACGGCCAGGATCACTGCCTCTGTCCTCTAGTGGCTACCCAGGTCCGCCCCCCCCCCCTGCGCAAGCCCCCCACCCCCTACCTTGGCGCTCTGGGAGGCTGACAGGATACCTCCAGAGGCCTAGAACTCCCGAATAACTCTGGGGATGTCCCCGTGAGTGACTGTCAGGAACGGTAGGTGCGGAGTCTGAGCTGCCCCCCGGCTGGGCGCCCATTCACTGCCCTCCCTTAACCACAGACCTTTCGGTGACCAGGCGGCCCTCCTGACCACACAGACTGGTCCGCTGTCGCTGGTGTGGGAACCAGGAAGAAAAGAGCCTTGAAGGCTTTTATGAAAAAGAACTTACGGTGTGGACCAAAACACTGCCCCTCCCACCCTCAGTCCCGAGGCTTAATTAGTACCTCGTCTCCCCCGGGTATGCGAGCACTTCGGCTTCCCGGGGCGCAGAGGCTGGGCTCTCTACGCCCGGCGGCTCCAAGTCATAGAAGTTCTGCAGCTGGTTTCCGTCCTCGTCGTACGCTTCGTCATACGCATCCTTCTCCGACCTGCCGGGGTATCCGGGGGCAGAAGCAGTGGTCAGCACAAGTGCCTCCTCGGCTGTGCGATGCACCCCCCCCCCAAAAAAAAAACAATGGGCTCGTTCTGATTTGCCTTCCTCCCAAAGTTCTCCCTCGGTGAACTGCCTCTTCTCCCCTGATGGGGGAGGGGGGGGGTAAGGAGGAGGAAACAGCATCCAAATGAAATTCCCACCCCGCGAGGCGGCTCTCCCAGGCCTCCTTTTGCGGGTGAAGGGTAGTCCAGCAGTGCCACGGCCTCAACGGGCACTGGGAGACGGAGGCGACTCCGCCGGCCGGGACACCTGGCCTCCGAGAAGGACCGCCCCGCTGCGGTGCTGGTGCCCTACAAGCAGCAGGAGGCGGGACGAGAAAGGCCCTGGGAGAGGAGGCTCTGGCCAACTCAAAGACCCAAAGGGGGAGCCAGGAGCGAAACGGAAAGGGTGGATGGATGGGGTGTACAGCTGCCAACTCCAACAACCACCCCCATCTAGCTTCTGAGCCCAGGGGAGCCCTTCCCCGCGCAGATGTAGGTCACGGAGAACCTCCAGCTTCTATTTTCGGACGGAGAGGATCTGGCAGGAACACATAAAATAACATATGCCTCTAAACTTAGTAAGTTTGGCGGCGGCTCATTTTGTTGCGCATCCGTGCCCTCCGTTGGCTGTCGCCCAGGGAAAGGGACTTTGAAAATAGCTGGGGGTGAAATGGGGCTTTTAAGTACACTAAATAAATAGTTCTCGATAATCTGTTAGCGATAGCGGGGCGACGGGACCCCATCTCAAACTTGGGTACCAAAAAAAAATGGTCAACAGGGACCAGGAGCCATCAGAAGCGCAGTGGCCTCCCAGTCACCCTTGCCTACCACCTCTAGCCTAGATATAGATCGGGGAGAAGTGAGTTAAAACAAAAACCACTTGCTTTGGGCCGCAGGAGAGACTCGCGAAGCGGCAGAGGCAAGTCACACTCTCTAGGAAGGATCAGAGTCACAATTCGTTACTCTGCTCGCCTTTCCTTCAAGCCTGTAGAGGTTAAGGGCGACGCAAGCACACCCTCCACCGCCTCGCCCGCCTTTCCCAGGCGACGTGGCTCTGCCCTTACCCGGTGGCCAGAGCCCCCGGGTCTTGCTGGCTATCTCCACCCTCCCTGTACCCACGTGCTGGCTTCCTGATGCTGAAACCAGAACCTATCTCTCGGGGCAAATCAACGGTCAGAGACCCCTACGGCGCGTTTTGGGGCAAGGCTCCGAGAAGCAGTTTTGCAGCCGTAACTCGAGCTCCTCCCTGCCGGGAGCCGGGTGCACCCCAGACGCAAAAGCACATCTGCAAAGCGAGCTTGCAGTGCCTGGCTGACCCATGGAGTACTCAGGCGCTAAGGCAGGGAACCCGACTGATTAGAAACCAGTATTAAGAAAAAGGCTTGGGTTGCTCCCCCCGGGCGGTCAGGCTGCCCCGATCCTGCCTGCCTACTTGCTTTCCCTCACTCGTTCCTTGCATCCGTGGCACTGGTTTTCTCCCCCTCCTTCGCAGATTCATTCTTGTTTTGCCTTCTCTCGAATCGCTTTTCCTCAACCATACCCAACCAACAACACTCCTCCTCCCCAAGACAGCCTGAGACTCAAAATGCAGTTGGAGAACGTGTCACTTGAGAGAAAGCTCTTCCAGGGAAAATAATTTGAATTGAGGTGAGGGAGACCCCTCCACGGCAGTGCGGAACAAGCTGCAACAAAGCAAAGCCCCGGGAGCTTCACGCTCAACCTTGCAACCTGGCTCCCGAGCCGAGATTCTCCTAACTCCAGCTGAGAATAGGAAAAAGAAGTCAAGCTCTGGGCCATGCCCTGCCCTCCTCCCGCGGGCGGGGCTGGAGGTGGATAGGTTTCTCCAGCCTGAAGAATCGCCTGTTCCACCCGGGACCTTTGGCTGCCTTGGGCTGGGGGAGGGGCGCCAAGCCGAAGTGGAGTCTGCCGGGCCTTTGGGCTGAGCCGGGGCCAGGGACCCGCCGCCCAAGCTAGGCTGGTGGCAGAGGCGCTCTGGAGCGCGAGGGTATATGGTCATAGCCGGGACGGAGGAACCTCAGGACGACCACGAGGAGGTGTCGGGGAAAGAGAAGCTCAGCCTCAATTCATCGGGACAGCCAGCACCTACCTGGTCCCACGAAACTGGAGTCCGGTGGTGTCAGGTGAGCAGTGCACGCTGCTGTGCATTATTATCCCGTAGACCAGGAGGGCCAGCCTCGCTCCGCTACACATGGTCGTTCTGTGCAGAACGGGAAAGAGGGCACACAGCAGTCAGAATCTCCCTGGCCTTCCACCTTGCAGCCCCAAGAACTCCGGGAGCTGGGGGAGGGACTGAGTGGGAGGCTCCCGGTGTTGAATACCCCTTAGTGACAGCCCGAGCTCGCCCTGCCACTTCCTTGCTGCTATGTGTAGTTAGAATATATATATATATATATATATATATATATATATATATATTCATATATATATATATATTTAACGATACATATATTGACATATATATATATGTATTCATTCGCCAGACCTGGTGCGAAGGAAAGCTAACTAGTACCGTCAGCAGTCAAGTGAGCCGTTCGGTTTGGTGAGACTCCCCCACCCCCTGATCATTCAACTCTTACCGCCGCTAGCAGAGGGTTTGCTGCCAAGTAGGACGGTGATCAAAGGATTCCTCCAAGTTTCTGCGCTGGAATCACAACCCAAAAGGAATCGCCGTCTGGCGTTCGTGTCTGAGGAGAAGCCGCAGGAACGAACAGGAGCAGCAGGAGGAGCTGGAGGACTTGTTTGCTGAGGCCAGTATTCTGTTCAAAAGTTTGCAGACGCACAAAACTAGAAGGGAGCGTGATGCTGAGAGAACAGGGCGAGGAGAGAGATGTAGAAGGAAGAAAGAGGAGGCGACAAGCTACAGTGGGGGTGGAGGACAAAGTGGCCCAAGTCCACCAGGAGACAGAAGTTAAGTGATTAAGGAAAAGAGAAAGTCGAAGAAGGAGAGGAAAGAAAGAGGGCCAAGGTGAAGACGGCGTCTGAGGGAGCCGCCCGGTCAGGCAGCCGCGCTAGTCGGCAGCGCCTTCTCTGCTCTGAAGTCCCTCTGGCTGCGTCTGAAGCTGCGGCTTCTTCTGCTGCTGCTGCCAGTGGGTACAGAGGTGACCGGCCTTCTGCTCCTATTTATATATGCAGTGGGCAGAAATCTATCTGAACATGGTTTTAGAAGAGACCTCTTTGTCTACATCTGTCTGCCTATGGCCTTTAAGTACAGAATATTTTGTTGCACTGTTGCGCTCATGAAATGACTTCCTTTTTTTTTTTTTTTTTTTTTCAGTCACGCAATGATCGGGTATCAGAAAAAGACGTCAGCATCCTAGTCCCTCAAGGAACATATTAACTATTCTGTGCTGGCCTCTTGGATGACGATAAGATCCGGAGTCATCCACTTCTCATAAACACCTTTCACTCATACAATCCAATTTTTAAGAAGTCCAATTATTGTTGATGGTTTTCAACATTTCCCGTTTCTCAAAGACGGGTAAAGAAATCATAGAACTTTGGGCATAAAAAAAAAGTCATTTTTTAATGACATTCCTACTATTTCTATTTACTGTTCACCAAGCCCTAGCAATCAGAGCTCTGGTCTCTGGAATTAAGTACCGTCAAGCTCTCCTATTAATAAATTTAATTTAGATCTAGTTTTTTGCATATGTTCTTTCAGACAGACAATTATGTGGAAGTCGTTTTGTTTTTAAAGGGAAGTCTTGCAGGATTTTCAGTAAATTGCTAATGAGTCTGCTGTCTTGACAGTCTGGCTGTGAGTAGATTGATTAAAGCTGCAACCAGAGCATGGCTCTGAGTGCTGAACCTGTCTGGTCACAGATGCTATGAACACTGAAAATTGCCCCTGATTCAATTTTTCATCACAGCCTCTAAATCTCAGGATTTGGCCATCGTACCATTAATGTGGCAACTCGTTGCCCAAATACCGTTCAGCTATGCTCCCTGCTTGCAGTATCCGTAAATGCCCTTAAAGCTCAGAATGGTTCGACCCTTTCAGATTCTATGTCTATGCCTCCTCTTACTCCTGGCTTTTGGAGCTCTAGATGACCCATTTGGACACTTCCACACTTTCTGTGGCTCTTACTGATTTGAAGAATTGAAACTGTGAGATTGTGCTTTCCACAAAAATTCGACTTTTAAGAATTTTAGAGTAAGAAATGTTTTCCCCCTTTATTTACATCTGAAGTTTGTTTAGAGAAATGCCTACATACTGGTAAAGCATGAACATTCCCAGTACGAATTCACTTGCTGAGGGTTTCTAACAGGAATCCCTCTACTGGAAACTGTACATTATTTTTTAACTGAAAATGACGTGGGAAGAGGAAGGCAATAAGGAAAGACCACATCCACGGAGAGGCCCTGGAGGCTTCCAAGTCCCTGGGTAACTTAAGAAGATTTGTAAATTTCTGCTCCAGTAAAAGAACTCGGATCTATTTTTCTCAAAAAGGAAATAGAACCATCAATAACCATTACCATGGTTAATTATTTGGATCTTAAAAATTCGAGGAAATGGCAATTTAGTGGGAGTGTTTCCTGTTACTATGATTTGGATCTAACATTTAAATAAGCTGTATCAGTTCTGCATGCTTTTCCTAAGACAAAATTATAACGCTTCTTGTTCCAATGCCTTTCTGGCTCTCTTATTTGAGATTTAATTCTTCCTCCAGGAAGGCAAAGTTTTGCTTGTTCTTCGCCGTTATTGGCCAGACACTGCCTGCTCCCTCTTAGTTTATTCCTGGGGGTACCCCAGATTGCTTACCTGCAGCGACCCTTCCAACCACATCTACCCGGTAATGTATCTCTTTGTCTCCACTGCATGTGTTCACTGATTTATGTTGCAGTGTTTACATGTGTGTGTTCCATGTTCAGCTCTGCCTCTAGAGTAAGCTCACACACAAAAGCCTGAGGTGAATATCCCCCAATAACCAAGTAGACAAGATAATTTTTTTTACTAAAGCACCCAAAGCTATTACCGACTTTGGCTTTTCTGCCTTCGGCCTTGCTTCACATCAAAGATGAACTCCATTAAAATCCTTACTCCCACGCGAATTCTGAAATGAGTTCAATCTGTAGAAATACTTCAAAATTTCCAAGACTCCGTGTACAAATTCACTACTCAACTTTAGTAAAGGGAGCCACCATGCGGGGAAGTTTGTTGATTTCATGGCCTATTAAAGGGGGAAAACCACAAACACCATTAAGTTCGTGGGGAAGAAGGAACGGCTTGACTCCACACGCCCTCGAGAATGAACTGATCCTCTGGCTTAGGAAGTCTGTGCCACTTCCCCTCTTCTCAGCAAAAGCACACTCAGTGCGGAACTGAGAGCACCCGCACCCCGAAATTCCCGGCCTCGAGGACTGACTAAGAGAGAATCTAATTTGAGATTTTTGGTCACTGAACTCCCGAAAATCTAGCTTTGGAGACCGACCCACTCATTTCTCAGCACAATCTAAAGACGCATCCAGCCCCAACACACAGCTGCTTAGGGGACTCCAACCCCGCAGGATCCTGCTGCAGGTGTTTCCTGCCGTTGATGGCTATGATTAAGTGAGTCTGGTGTCGGTGGGCAAGAAAACTTTCCTATTCTGGAAATAATGGCCCTGGTCCCCTGGGCTGGGGGAAGTAGGGAAGGCTGAGGGAAGGAACTAGAAGCTGAGGACGGGCCTAGGGGTGGAAGCTGCGGGAGTCTGGAGCTGCAACCTTACCTCACCAAAATCCTCAGGAGGGAGAGAGCAGACCCTCTTTGCTTTCTGTTCAGTGGAGGGAAATACGAGGCAATCAAAGTCTCAATGACCAAAACTACCTCCAAGTCCAGACCCCCCCACCCCCGCCAAGGTGGGAATATGCTTCTAAATTAGGGAACTTTCAAATCTATCTAACGTTCACTCTGCTTACCAGGGGCCTTGGTGTCTGGGAGCTTTGGGAAGCGACGGGGAAGAGGGCACGACAGCCCGAGCTGCCAGGCTGCCCAGGCCGGAAGCACTGAAAAGGGTGCCTGGGGCCGCCAGATCATGACTCGTTCATTACAAACGCAGGCGCCAACCTGGTTTACTGTGAGGGATGGGGCCTGGGCTGGGGAACCGGTGGACCTCAAGTAAGTCGCCTGGTGTGGGTGCAGGAGGGAGGAGGGGAGAGTGAGAGGATAATTGGGACGGGCAGGAGAAGGGGCTACAGCCTGCCAATTTTATCCTGTTTTTACCTGACTTCTCTCCCGAAGGGATTTTTACATCCTCCTAAAGTGACTGAGGTTAAGAGCAAAAGAGAAACCTTCAAATAGATCTCCTACATGTGATTGAAAATGACGTGGGGAAAGGAGGGAGAAGATGAAGGCGGCACTGATGAGTTAGAACTTTCTATTCATAGATAATGTGAAGGAACTATCCAACGGCCCCACCCCTTGCCCCAATGTTCCCGAGGGAAGTGGAATTCCCAGGGAGCCAAGTTTCTTCCCAGGCTGTGGAAGCAGAGAATGGCATTTAACTGGAATCATGTTCAGTTAGAAAGTTAGTGAAACCACGGAAATCTTCAGACTGGAAGGTTTCATCCATGTCTTCTGTAAGGTAAAGGGGCCTGAAGGACAGCGTCAGTCTCCTGCTAGGGAGTGACCTACCCAAGACAAGCTGTTTGGAAGTATTTGTTGGAAATCATAAAGACCCTGAATTCCAAGCTCCAAGCTCCTCATGTATCAGCTCCTTTTTGTACTTTTTGTCCTGAAGATATGAAAACATAACATTTGGTCTGAAATGGTGAATGCTAGCTAAAAGACTAGTGTGGTTTTGTTTTTTCCCAGTCACTGACACATCTGCCTTGAGGTTTCAAGTCTTTCAGTCAACATTTGACTTAAAGAACTCTTTAGCCCTTGAAAACATGGATTTTTGTACTCAAACAGAAGAATATGTTTAGCATATTCACTGGGCGTTTGAACTCGCAGGTGGCTTCACAACATTAGCAAACACCTGGCATAGACAAGAATCCATTTCCTAGGGTAAGGAGAGTTCTACTGCTTTCCTTCTGGCCTAGCTACCCATTCTACACATAGTTTCCATATGTTCACTTTTTCCCCCAATGCCTGCACAGCGACCAACCCCTTCCCCAACCTCCATAAGAAAGAACATCCTGTATGAACATGCACACATATTCATGCACTCCTAGTATAAATAATACTAAATCAGATTGGGAAAGTCTTATATTCTTTGTCTGTTAATTTCTAGTTAGTGCATAGCATAAGAATCAAGTTATACTAAATTTTTTCAAGCTTGTTAAAAAACATCATCCTCTCACATGATTGACAAAAGTAAATTACAGCTCTATTTTCAATTTCACTCTAAACTTTTTCTCTTCTGACTCTTCCAGAAAATGTGATGACTAATGACTCACTTCATACTGATTGCACCTGTAGGGAAACCCAAATGTTCTTCCTCAGAACATCATGACCATCACTTACTGCACTGCCTGCATCACGCCCTTCTGAACTCACTATGAAGTAAGGAGCTGATGAGCTTACCCATAATGTGTCATGACTTACCTCTCTGACCTTCAGAATTTAGTGCTTCACACACTCTAAAAACAACCAGCAAAGAATGCCTTTCCAAACCACATGAGCAAAAGCATCTCTCTCTAATTCAAGCATTGAATTGCAGGCTCACACAGTCAAGAGATTTTTGCCAGCTGTTTTAAGACAAGCAGACACTCAAGAAGCAAAAACAAGGATCTCACCTCTGCTGCAGGTTTGGGTGACTTCTACCATATTACAAATATGGCTCTTTGAAGGCTGTGTTCTCTGAAATATTTTGGGTACCAAAAGTATATACCCTAGACTTCACTCTGCAGCATCTGTCAAATTCTCCAGAGATTTCCAGAACATGTCTTCTTAAAAGCCAAAGGGGAGAAAGTCTTGTCTCTAATTCATTCTAAATCCTCTGCTCATATACATCTTAAATGCAGGAAGAAGAGATTGGAGAGGATCCAGGAAACTCATATCCTAAATGAGTTTTTGTGATGGCTTCTGAAAATGTTGGAAGAAAGA